CTTCTCAGGCGTCAACATCTGGACAAAAGCGCAACGTGGCTTGCATATCGGATTTGCAATGTTTGACGTTCTTATGCATGTGACCTGCTTTTTTATGCAAATTCGGTTCATTTCAAAACGATCCGCGATTTTCAAAAGGATTGGAACCGGGACGCATCATCGCATTATGAAATCGCACCAGAGATAGTGGTTTATAGCTGGTGAGGGGGTCACACTTCATCTCGAAACTTTGAAAAGAATTCTCTTTTATGGTTGATTTTTCCGGCTTCAGGCGCACTACAGGCTTCCAGGAAATGAAGAGCGCTATTCCGGCTGTTCATGATGAAGGCGCATAGGGAAATCTGCCTTTGAAGTGAAAGATGTGGAAAGCACAGTTCTGTCTTGGCTCTTCTTTAGCAGCTCGGAAACGAACTGTAGGACAGAGTACTACTACTCTTTCTAGTTCGATAAATGCTTAGTTCTCGCCACGAGGGGCAGAGATAAACCAAGCCCTTGGACAAGAAGAACGGATTATGCATCCCAGGCCATTTGATCCTTTCATGCCGCAGTGGTACCAGGTTCGATTGCAGATGTGAAAACACAGATTCTGCTAAAAACCGGCTAAGCTAGGCAAATAGAAGTCGAAATCGTAGCCCAATCTGAAAAGTCACCAATTGGTGCTGTTTTGTAATATACCTACGATGTTTCGCTTTTATTATTGTACCAGAAACGACCTTACTTTCACTAAAGTTGCAGTCTTTACTTAACTGCTTGATATTTGAATCTCATTCCAGGAAATGAAGAGCGCTATGCCGGCTGTTCATGATGAAAGCGCATAGGGAAATCTGCCTTTGAAGTGAAAGATGTGGAAAGCACAGTTCTGTCTTGGCTCTTCTTTAGCACAGGACAGCACCATACTCCGATGCTTGATATTTGTTGTGGCTTGGAATTCAGAGAAAGGCTCAGACCGTTTAGCAGTTCTTCGCGAGGAACCATTTAGGCGTGAAACTTTATTATCGACCGCTTTTCCAGCCAAACAATGTGCATTTGAATAGCATTTGGAACGGCCGTGAGAAAATTGAGCAGTTTTCAATAATAAAAGATTACCTTGCACTCGCTTATGTATGCTGAAACCGCCGAAGGCGCTACACGCTTGGGTTACCCTCATAGTGATGCACTCTACCGTATGCCAAGGCTCTCAGCTGTCAGCTTGGATTGTTTTTACATTTAAGCTTTCATGCATAGATGTCACTTCAATGACGGCAGTGGGCGAAGAAGTAAGGGCACAAAAACCCATGCCACTACTTTGCGCTAGTAACGCGAATTAAGTTCGATGTATTGGAAGTACTATTTCAATCCATAGCTTCGTCTTGTTCAATCTAGTCTTTAACTAAGCTGTCAAGTTGCCTGCGAACGCCACCTGTCAGTGGTTATCAGTCCGTTTATGAGCTGATTAGAGCTATTTCGGCAACAATTGAACCGTCGGAGCGTCTGCTCGCTTGTATTTATATGAGATGGGCCAGCGGGTATGCTCAAGGGGAATTTAATTAGCAGGAAGGCTCACACTTAGTCCCGAAAACAGATTACAAACATGTGGCGGTAGTTTCGCGAATCGGAGAACAGAACGATCATGAAGACCACTTCCATACCTGATAATAGTTCATGTCAGCTGTAAGCTCCGACCAAAGGGTTAGCGATGAAAGGCCTGGCTTTATCCCTGCTTCTGAGAGGATCCATGCATACGGCGAATCATTCTCAGTCGTCGGACATTTTAACCTATTGCGAGCCGCTTTACACGTGTATTTCCTTACCGTTTCATCTTCCTTTTTTCCAAAAAATATCTTTTCAGATTACAAGATCGAATTTTTCAGGTGTTTTGTCTGACTACCTGAAGACGATTATATTATCCGCTTGCAACGGAAACTTTCAGCGCTCATGTTAGGGGACGTAATACGAATCCTAGGGGACGTAATACGAATTTGACTACTTATAGTCTCCATATACCCGGGATGGGAGAGGCGTTGCTTCAAAGGCAGGGTAGAACACGTTTTCCGTGGGCTATTACAAGGTGAGCGGAATGTAATCCTGCCTTGTACTCGACAAACCCATGATTACCATTTTCTCAAAGCAACTTCCAAATTTGGTATGAGGCCACGCCCTCTCGATCTTCTGGATGCAAAGTATAAATGATTGTTGAATTCACGTAGCATATTCGCCTTCCACATTATATTCTTTCATGGAAAAATGGATCTCTTCTCTTGTTAGTTGCAATTGCATACGTGACAATTGGGCTTTGGGGTGGTGGTGTTGTTCGCGCATCTAGTCCTGACCTGATCCTGAATTTCGTGTAAACTGTTTCAGGTGCTGTGATGGAGCCAGCGACACTTCGGTGGCCAGGCTATCTTTAGGTGGAAGTGCTGACGTAATAATGCCACAAAATTAGAGGGGAAGTGCTAGTTTTCCAAGTAAATACTATACATTTTATTAGGTCTACTCAGAATTAGGTAGTCTTGAATTCAATGAGCTCAAACTTTCATGGAAAACAAAATGTATGAATTAAAATGTATTCATGTGTAGAAAAACATGCGAACCTCTATGAGAATAAAGAATTTGATTAAAACGAACCCGAAGCTGAAGAAAATCGAGGAACATTCGCTGTAAAGAATTTCAAGAAGAAGGAATTGTAAGAGTTACTCAGTAAATCCAGTTTAGAAATTTAGATGAGAAAAATGTGCAAAACAAAACTATATGAGCAAATGTACAAGTCAAATCAAATAGGTACATCTCCACCTCTGGTTAAGCCAAAAATGCAATAGGGAAAAGGCCAAGATCCTGAAAAAGTGGATTGGATGAGTTCATCGAACGAAAATGAGGATGGGAACGAATACGGTGAGAATGTGAGAGCACGCCCGGGTACGGCTGCCCAAGGTCCATACTCGCGGTAAACGTCTTGGGGAAATTTTTGATAAATACGGTCTAATTTGTAATCTCTTCCTGGTAGGACACCTTGCCCTTCGTCATTAACTACATCTTATTACCATAGTTTTCTAGAATTTCCGCTGCGAATCGGGGAGGAGGGGTAGGAGCAAATCTCTGATGAATTTTTAGGAATATCTAGTAATTTTGCCTCACCGCCAACTAGGCGGTCACGAAAGCGAGAAAAGTCAACAATATTAAAAAAATTTTCCAAGTCGGATTGGATCCCCTCACACGCGCAACGCAATAGGACCCGACGTTGTGCAATAGGACTCGAGATACGACCTGCCCTGGCTGCCACTCTACGACTTCGTTGCTTGCCTCTTCCGCGATAATCGATGATAGTGCCTGAATCTAGTATATGTGTGTAAGACTGCATGCTCACAGGAATCATGGCGCATTGACTCCGATTCAAAGCTTGCAGGAAGCGGTGGATAAACAGGCAGATCACTGAGATTGTGAAGTGCATAGGATGAGGCTGCGTTGTATACTTGCGGCAGCGTATGTCGTTATCGCTGCTCCAGCCTAGCGGCAGTGACGATAGAGAGGATGCATTATCAATCTTAGCTTCACCAGCGCTCACCAGCGGCCATCGCTGCGTACTAGCGTTTGCGCTAGCGGCACCGCTAAGCGTACGCCAGCGGCACGCGCTACGCGCACGCTTGGCCGTAGCGAGGGCACGCGGGCAAGCCATAGCCGGGGATATCGAGATCTAGCTTCACCAGCGTTTCTCGAGCGTTTCTCCAGCGGCACCAGCGTTTTGCTAGCGCTTGCAGCGGCAGGAGTAGAGACTATGTGGCCGTGAGAGACGCGGAATCGACGTGTATTGTAGAGACTATGTGGCCGTCGGAGACGCAGAAGCGATGTGCATTGTAGAGACTATGTGGCCGTCGGAGACGCAGAAGCGATGTGCATTGTAGAGACTAAGGGCGAGTGAGAGACGCGCAATCGATGTGTTTTGTACCCTCCAGCTCTCCCATAGTCTCTACTCCCCTGCCGCTGCAAACGCTAGCAAAACGCTGGTGAAACGCTGGAGAAACGCTGGCGTACGCTAGCGTACGCCAGCGTGCCGCTGGTGAAGCTAGATCGATATGCATCCTCTCTTCGGCACTGCCGCTGGCGTACGCTGGAAGCGCTACGCTACGCTGCCGCAAAGTATAAACGCAGCCTACATTTGCGAAAGGGGTCGCCACGTGTCCCTCCCAAGCATCTTTACCCGGGGCTGTTCTCAGCTTTAGGACCAGTAGTCGATTTCTTATTATCCACCAAAAAGGAAAAATGGGCTGTTCATATAAAAGTCAAGAAAAAGGTTACAAGAATGCAACTCGTCACTTTCAACACTTTGACCTATCCCAGTTGAAGATGATTCTGAGGGGGGGGGGGATTGGATACCTTGCAGTGGTCACCGTAAAATTATCCCGTCCATGCGGATTACCTAAACACCCGCTTCGCGGTGCATTACGCTTGAAGCGGAGTTAAAAACAAAAAAATGTATAGGCCGCTCGATCCACTCGTTCAAAAGAAGTAGCCATAAACGTCGAACAGCGGAAAGCGATCCAAATAATGATCTCCTTGCTGCAGTCGATTCTACCTAGAAGAGATTAGACAAGAGGGGCGAGAGAGCGCACAAAAGAACGAGATGACAGACAGCAGTGCGGGCGGAGTTGCTTGCCCTCAGATGAAGCAACTATGTAAACATTTGCGCCTAATTGTCTACTTTACAACTTTCAGACTTAGAAGTAGCACAAAGTTGTCCATTGCGGCAAAAACCAACACTCTTCAAACACCGTTATCGCCTAATCATAGAATAATAATTATCGCGAAAAGCAGTATGCGGTCAGATCTGAATCTATTGCTGTTTAGTTTTCATAATCCTCACTCTCGCCAGCAAAATTCCTAAAGCGAACGAAATTACAGCGAAAAGGATTCTCCAAAGAACTAGTATAATTACAGTGGTTATGAGTAAGAATGGAATAATGATGTCGAGCATATAATACTGAATGATAGACTGCTGCGTGGAGACATTATTAAGGCTGCTGGTAATATTAAAACGTATAGGCATATTCGATATGACGAACGAGCACATCCTCGGGTGTGAAAGGTTTGTTTTGAAGTTGGTCACTAATGCGTCGAGCGGCTTTGGAATACCTGAAATCAAAGAAAGAAAAAAACGCTGGCACTTTGTCCAATTTTTAGAAGGCTGATAATGGCTCAGCCGGAAAATACAAGCTCATCAAGGCCTGTGTAATGCAATAGCGGACGGCACGGCTTGTCATGCTCTCGTTTTAGAGGGCCAAGCTTGGATTAACCCTGGCCCACTCCACACAAGCCTCTCATCGCTCCACCGTCAGCCTCCACAAGTTAGTGTTTGGGCTAAATCAAAATGCCTTGTGATTCTGTATGGAAGTAGAAGTCGATCAAGACT